GAGGACAGTCCTCTGAAGATGTCGGCCACAGAGACTGGTGAAATGTTAGGAAGAACAACCTTCAGAACACGGCCAAAGAGCCTGAAAAACCCACAAAAGCCAAAACATAAAATAGTTTAAAATTCTGTGCCCCAAATCACAGAAGAGTTCAGCTTAAATGCCCAGTGTAGTTAACAAGCCTGTTTAAAAAGAAATGCCTTTACCTCTTGCCAGAAAGATGAGAGAGCAGGGGGGTGGCATTCCACGCTCCAGAGCAACTCCAGAGGAGGACACCTCTTGCATCTCCACCAAAGATGACATCAGTAGCGCTGAGATAAAGGCCTCCTCTGAAGATTCCTTTTGTTGAGCCAAGGGCCCCAACAGAGATTGTGTTTGACTGATTTGTTTTCATGCTCCAGAAGATGGGAGGTGGGGGAGAGGTTGAAGGGTTGACACTTTATTGCATTGTTGCACAGGCTGTTTTCTGGGAAATTGCTGTGGAGGCAGCATTCTTGCTAACCTGGGATTGGTTACCCACCCACCCCTCCCGTTTCATCTTCTGCAGGCTATGCGTGGCAGCTCTTTCGGCCAATAATTTCTGTGAAAACAGGGAGGCCCTCTATGGAGTTTTTGATGGGGACCGCAACGTGGAAGTACCATACCTTCTGCAGTGTACCATGAGTGACATCTTGGCGGAAGAGCTCCAGAAAACCAAGAGTGAAGAGGAGTACATGATCAACACTTTCGTTGTAATGCAGAGGTTAGTTTTGTTTTTTTCCATTTTAGTCAAGCATGATGCTTGTAAATGAGTCAGGATGTGACAGTCGTAGCTGGAAATTTTAAGGCAGGGCCCTAACATATCTGCAAGGGGGAGAATGGTTTAGCCTTCCCTGACCTGGTACCATCCCTATGTGTTGGCCTGCTGCTTTTCCCGTCTGTCTCAGTGGCTGTAGATCATCTTCGATCGCAGATCACATTGAGGAGGGCTACAGTCCAGCCTCCTTTCTTACACCTTCCAGTGATTAATCCGTACAGTTGAACAACAGGACAGAAGTTGGTAAGGAGTTTATCATCAGCCTCATGGTTGCCTTTCCTACCTGCTCCTTGCCACTGATAAAAATGAAATGGGCACCAGTGCTTTCTCTGTGTTATGCCCCAGTGCTATGTGTCAGAGCCCACGTTCTCCATTAAATTTTCCAGAGTCTAATCTGAAAGGCTTTTAAAACATTATGAAGATAAAAGCCATCTGCTTTTTCTTGCATCTTTTCGCCCTCTACACTCTCTCTCTCTCTCTCTCTCTACTGCTTTTTCTTGCATCTTTTCTCCCTACACAAACACACACACACCCTTTAGAAAGGAAGAAGAAAATGCCCCTTCTATATATATAAGCTACATCAGACATGAATAGCTTTATTTACAATTGCCTAACTCCATTGCAGCTCATCCAAGTATTATCCCAGACTGATTCATTGAAGCCAAATTGTTTAAATTGCAGCCTGAAGTGTCTTTGGGAAAGAAGAAAGACAACAAGTGCTTTGCGCAGTATTTATGTAGGCTTCACATTTCTAGGAGGATTGGGAAAGATCCCGTTTTAGGACATGGGCAGACCTGAAAGGATGTCCTCAATGCTTTAACTTTTGGTAATGATAGGAGTGTTGCACTAGTTTACTAAAGTTCATGCTTGTGGGGTTTGGCTTCCAATCAACAAGAAATGTTACTAGAAATGTGTTCCTTTAACCTGCACACAGTTGTTGCATGCAGAACTGGAAGTGGTGGAACTGAATCCTCATTTCTGGATCTTCCCACCCTCCTGGTTTTTGTATGCCACCCCTCCAGCTTCTGCACCAGTGTCTGGATTGCTTTGGATATTTTCTCCAAGGACAACTTGCAAGTCATAGTATTTCTCATTCTAGCCCCGTAGTATGTCTGTTGGAGCTTTCCCTCCCAGTCTCTTGGCCTCCTTGCCTTATAGCACTGCAACGCCCATTATCCATCTTGCTGTCTGGGGATAATGACATTAGTAGTTTTAGCACATCTAGAGAATATCACATGCTGGGGAAGGGGACTGTTGTATTTGGATTGGCTGTGGCTCTCCGTGTTTTCAGATGGACATTTTCCTCCTCACCTGCCCATCTGGCCTTTTTACCTGGGGATGTGGAGAACCCTGCCTGGGAGCTGTGCAAGTCCTTTGCTGTACCTCTGGGGTGTGGATGGTCTCCTAGTATTACAGGTTAAATTTCCTTAGGGGGCTCCAGCAGTACAAGCACCTCATAGTTGAACTTAAGCTTAGCCACCTGCTTTATGAGATTCATGGACAGACTCATCTGGTTTGGACAACAGATCCTTCATGATGCTTTGGCTGATCTTGGTTTTAGTTTTATGGTCTTTGGTCCTTCTGTACCCCCTTTAAGGCTAAGAAGAGTCAATGTCGTTTTCTTGACATTTCAGAAAACTCGGAACTGCTGGACAGAAGCTGGGAGGCTCCGCGGTCCTTTGCCATATAAAACATGATCCGATAGACCCGGCCGGATGCTTCACGTTAACCTCTGCAAATGTGGGGAAGTGCCAATCCGTTCTCTGCAGGAACGGGAAACCTCTGCCTTTATCCAGGTCCTACATGATGAACTGCGAAGGCGAGCTCAGAAGGATCAAGCAGCACAAGGCCATTATCACAGAAGTAAGAGATTGCGTGGCAGAGGGAAAGGGCAACAGTTTTGGGGGGCGATCTCTGTGTTACTTCTCCTTCTAAACAGATGCCTGAGAGTTTCAAACAAACTAAAGCCAAAAGCGCAAAGTGCGCTGCTTAGATATTGCCCAATAGCACTTCAAGCACTCTCTGGGCGTTTCACAAGTTAATTACGCAGGCTACACATTGCCCCTCCCCCTCCCCCGCCAGCTGGGTACTCATTTTTACCTCGGAAGGATAGAAGGCTGAGTCAACCTTGAGCCGGCTACCTGGGATTGAACCCCGGGTTGTGAGCACAGTTTTCGCTGCAGTACAGCAGTTTAACGACTGCGCCACGAGGCTCCTAAATTGCCTCCCATCTTCCCACAAAATTGTTAAGCTCTAGCCAAAAAACAAAAAAACTGGGGATGTACAACCTTCTGTAGATTGTGGAGAATAGTAAAGGCTTTTCACAGTCCTTCTACGAGGGAATTCAACAGACATTTCCAACTTGCCTATCAAGGGGTGTCTCTGAATCGGTTACTTGTTTCTGTGTAAAAAACACCTGAGGAGCTTGTGGTCCTCCAGATGTTGTTGGACTCTATTTCCCATCAGCTCCAGCCAGCCTCGCCAGTGCTAAGGGATCATGGAATGGTGATTCCTCAATATCTTGAGGAGCACGTGCTCCTCAAGATATTGAGGAATCACCATTCCATGATCCCTTAGCACTGGCGAGGCTGGCTGGAGCTGATGGGAAATAGAGTCCAACAACATCTGGAGGACCACAAGCTCCTCAGGTGTTTTTTACACAGAAGCAAGTAACCGATTGAGAGACACCCCTTGATAGGCAAGTTGGAAATGTCTATTGAATTTCCTCGCAGAAGGGCTGTGAAAAGCCTTTACTATTCTCCACAATCTACAGAAGATTGCACAGAAGAAACCTATCTGTTAGTGGAAGACAGTCCTGTTCCTTCCATAGAATATGTCTTTGCTTTGGGGACAAAAGAGTGGGGGAAAAGAAGCCGGCTTCTCTTTCACCTCTCTCGTTTTCATCCCTGGACCATTCAAAGCTCCTGAAGATCACGATGTATCAGAGGATAAGACATCCTTGTTTCATTTGGGTAAAGTCACCCTGTTTGACACAGGATAGCAACGCTAAGGTCACCATACCAATGCTGCCTAGCAGTGTGCAGACGGGCAGAGGGAGACAACGAGGCAGCAGTCCCAAGAGGAGGCATAATTCCGGCCAAATGCAAAGAGAAGCTCACGAGGAGATAAACAGTTTTTCAGCCTTAAGCAACAACAGAATGTCCAAGGCCACCTCTTCTGGGAATCATTCCAAACACTTTAGATAGACAAAACAATGTCCATACTTAATTTGCAGGAAGGTCTCTTAAGCTTATAACGCCAGGTTGTAAATATTCTTAAAGTGTAATTTAAAAAAGTTACTTTCTTCAGCTATCCCTCTCACCAGATTTTCTGCCGCTTTAAAAAGTTCCTGAGATAAGATAGCAATTCTTTTTTTCCATATATAGGGGTACATAGGCAATTAGTTGCAAAAGAATTCTCACCCGATGGAAAAACAGCGATGCCAGGTGCTGTTCCTTGCTTCTCTCAGCCGCCTGCCAGCGACTTGGAAGCTGCTTATTTCTGCCCATTGGCTGATTAGGGAGTTTCCTGGATCGAACCGGGGTGGCCACCGCCCCCCCCGTGATCAACAGGCTTTCTCCCCCAGTTCACCACCCCTCCAGGGTGGTTCCGACACCTTGCGGTGTCCCAAAACGGGTCAGAATTCAGCCCAGGGGACAGAGCTCTGTCCTCCTGCTGCTGTCTCGTCGCGACGTCAAGCCAGAAGTCGAGTTCCACACTCTTTATCGTACAGCCAGGTGGGCACACCTCTCCCGTCCCAACCTCCTCTGTCCTCTCCCTCTGCACATACCCCGGTTACTTATGCAAGGTCGGTGTCACGCCCAGTTTGCAGCTGAGGCTGAGTTTGCATCACTAGCCCTAGTGGACAGCTTTTTCTCACTGAAGAACGCTATGCTCACTTGGTGGTGCCACCCCCTCATGCTGCAGCGGTTTCTTGCCACTCCCTGACCACTTGCAACAGTCTCTGGCACTGGTGGTGCCACCTCCAGCGCCACTTCTGTGTCAGGATCAGGCATCCCGTCAGAGGAGCTGAAGGGCGCTCCTGCTCTTGCCCAGCCGAACTAGGCTGCAGGGATAGGTTGCCTGTCTCAGGAGATGCTGCCCTTGAGTGAAAGTGGTCCACTCCCCAGTCCATGGGTCCCAGAGCATGAAGGGCTCTGCCATGTTGCCCAAGGCACCAAAATATGGGCAGCTGCACCTCTTCCATCTCCTGCCAGCCTTCCTCTTCCTCCTCCTCCTCCTCCTCCTCCTCCCAAATAGGCACCCATGCACCCGCTGGTCGCATTTATGCCTCCTCTTGGGACTGCTGCCTCGTTGTCTCCCTCTGCCCGTCTGCACACTGCTAGGCAGCATTGGTATGGTGACCTTAGCGTTGCTATCCTGTGTCAAACAGGGTGACTTTACCCAAATGAAACAAGGATGTCTTATCCTCTGATACATCGTGATCTTCAGGAGCTTTGAATGGTCCAGGGATGAAAACGAGAGAGGTGAAAGAGAAGCCGGCTTCTTTTCCCCCACTCTTTTGTCCCCAAAGCAAAGACATATTCTATGGAAGGAACAGGACTGTCTTCCACTAACAGATAGGTTTCTTCTGTGCAATCTTCTGTAGATTGTGGAGAATAGTAAAGGCTTTTCACAGCCCTTCTGCGAGGAAATTCAATAGACATTTCCAACTTGCCTATCAAGGGGTGTCTCTCAATCGGTTACTTGCTTCTGTGTAAAAAACACCTGAGGAGCTTGTGGTCCTCCAGATGTTGTTGGACTCTATTTCCCATCAGCTCCAGCCAGCCTCGCCAGTGCTAAGGGATCATGGAACGGTGATTCCTCAATATCTTCAGGAGCACGTGCTCCTCATGATATCCTGTGTGAAAACTTCGGAGCAGTGCCTGAGGTTTAGCTGTGAGAAACACAATCTGCTTCATTCTTGGTCCAGAAAGATTTGAATGTAATACTTTTCACATAAAAATAAATATGTGACAGAGCTAAAAAGTAATTGACTTTGTAAGCAAGGCACTTTTGAAGTGACTCACTTTTCTTTTGTACATGGGGTAGGGCATAAATTGCAGGCACAGAAGTGCGTAAGGAATTTCACTAAAATGAAGGATTCCATTTTATTGGTTTGTTTTTTCTTTATGGTAGTCAGACTGTATTCCACCAGCTTTCTCTGCCCATATAGACTCGGGTAACATTTAAAACAGAAGCAGAATAGTTTATTTACAAGTCAGAAGCACATAAATAAAGCACACTAAGTGGGATTAATAGACAGTATTCAGTTATTTCATTACACTTGCAGCTTCTTTAACCTTTCCCTGAACTCTGTTGTCAATATATGGCTTTCCCTACATTACACCACACCACATCACACTCCCTCCAACCATGCTGTGGTCTCAAAAGCGAAACACTTTCTGTAATTCCATGTTCTTTCTCTTTCATTTTTCTCCACTATCTCTTCAAACTTAAAATAGCAAGTGACCTGGACTGCCCCTCCCTTCCTCAACCCCACTCCCCCAGCATTCCTAAGGCTTTGGTAGGCTGAGATAATACAAGGGTGGGCACTGCTGCTCTCTCTCACAGCCCAGTATAGGGGAAGCTACTTAAAAATAAGCCGGGTCTTGCACGTTTACGATTCCTCCCTCCTGTTTTCTCGTTGTCTTTTCTTTACATGCCATGTCTGCTCCAGCAGATGCCACCAAATAGGCCAATGTAGTGTTTTAGAAACTCCTTGTCTTGGATCGTTAGCCGGGCAGAGCCTGGGGACCTGTATATACACATGGTTTGATATATCCAGGATTTGTATTTTTAACAGTGCTTCCTCACTCAGATGTTAATCCTTCTCCCTTTGGGACATGTTGTATCCAAAAATAAAGTGTAGTAGGTAACTGGGGCATGTGAAAACATTTTCACTGAAACTCAGCTGATCGGATACAAACAAGATTCCATACACAGACCCCTTTTCTCCCGACATCCCGCGTGCTTGATGCAACTCTGCTGTTTTTTTCTCTTTTTTTCTTATCAAACCTAAACTTGACTTCATTGCTTTGGTAACATAGGAAGCTTTATTTGCAGTGTAATAGCATGCCATAATCTACAATTTGACATATTTATGAAATTTAAAAATACAAAAAAAGTAGTTTTATTCAAGTAAGTAGAATTGTGAGTACTAAAAACACAGCTGTAAACTGCTGCATTCGTCATTACCTGAGCAAACAAACTAAGGTGCAAGCACTATGCTGCCTTAAATCCATCCATCTAAGAAGCAGGGAAAAAATGAAAACAAAACCACGTACATTTTGTGATAAACTAAAATGTATGATTTGGACAAAACCAGTCATGGTTCTGCTGTGATGGTTTTCGCCAAGCAGCAATCCATGAGCAGTGAAGTCCTTACCCGATGCTCTATTATGCTTGTACCCATTAAGTGCAGAAATGCATCCTGGACTTGAGTACTATATATTCTTACATTATGCATAAGAATTAACTTCTTATGTAGCTCCCTTTTGGAACTGGTTTGAGAATGAAGGTTTACAAATGGACTTCGAAGCAAACCAGTTGGCTTTTAACTACCTACATATCCTTAAAACGTAAGCATTCATAAGTATTTGGCATAATAAATAAATCCTCCTTTGTTGCAGGACGGCAAAGTGAATGGTGTGACGGATTCAACAAGGATCTTGGGGTACACCTTCCTTCACCCGAGTGTGGTTCCTCGCCCCCACGTGCAGTCCATCACGTTGACCCCTCAGGATGAATTCTTCATCCTGGGCAGCAAAGGCTTGTGGGACAGCCTTTCCTTCGAGGAAGCTGTGGAAGCCGTCAGGAACGTGCCTGATGCCTTGGGAGCCGCCAAGAAGCTCTGCACCTTGGCCCAGAGTTATGGCTGTAACGATAGCCTGAGCGCTGTGGTGGTTCAGCTCAACGTCACCGAAGACAGCTTCTGCTGCTGCGAACTCAACGGCATGCCTCCTCCCAGCCCAGGCATCTTCCCCCAGTCTGTCAACGTCGTCATTAAAGATAAGCCTTCCGATGGCCTGGGGATGCCCTCGTCCAGCAGTGGCATGGCTTCTGAGATCAGCAGCGAGATCTCGACCTCTGAAATGAGCAGCGAGGTGGGGTCCACGGCCTCTGACGAGCCCCCTCAGGTGACCATGAATGAAAACAGCCCTGCCTACCCTAGCGAACAGCGCTGCATGCTCCACCCGGTTTGCCTCTCCAACTCTTTCCAGCGGCAGCTCTCCAGCGCCACTTTCTCCAGCGCCTTTTCAGACAACGGCCTTGACAGCGACGACGAGGAGCCCATCGAAGGAGTCTTTTCCAATGGCAGCAGAGTAGAGGTAGAAGTGGACATCCACTGTAGCCGATTGAAGGAGAAGCAGCTCCTCCTGCAGGCCCCGGCAGAAGCCAGCGACGAAGGCATCGTCATCAGTGCAAATGAAGAGGAAGCGTGTCTCCTTAGGAAGGTTGACCCTTCTGCCATGGGTACCATTGGGCGCCGACGAGGCAATGGTTCTGTGGCTCCACAGGAGAGAAGCCATAACCTGATAGAAGTTGCCACTGATGCACCCCTCAGAAAAACTGGGGGCTACTTTGCAGCCCCGGCGCAGCCAGATCCAGATGATCAGTTCATCATCCCGCCAGAACTTGAGGAGGAGGTCAAAGAGATAATGAAACAACATCACGAGCAGCAGCAACAACAACAACAACAGCAGCAGCAACAACAACAGCAGCAACAGCAGCAGCAGCAGCAACAGCGGCAATACCAGATGGACCAGCTGCCTGATTATTATGACACACCACTATGACCAAGCTTCCTAAAATCAAGAGAGACACTGAGAGCTGGAGAGTCCCTTAGCTTTGTATTACTTTAATGGGCTTGGGGAAGAAAGGAAGCTTTTGTTTCCCTTTTCTCTTCCAGACCTTTCCCTTCTCCTGAGAACTACAGCTGCTTCTTGTTTGTTAGCTGTAATAATCACTTCCCTTCCCTTTTCTAGTGATGCTTCACCGTTAGAATTACATTAGTTTAACTCTGTCTTCTTCCTTAGCATATCAAATGTAAAAAAAAAGTGGAGAAAAAAAATACAAAAAGTTTAATATATTGCAGAGAAAAACTGATGATGACATTGATGTAATATTTTTTAAAATCGTCTTTTTCGGGGATCTGTTTGGAAAACAGGGCAGTGTTGCCAGTGCTAAATGATTAAGTAATATTGTAATACTGTATTTCTTTGAGAGAAAAAAAAAGGCTTTTTTGGTCTTGAAAATGGATAGACATTTGTAGAATTATGGAGACTAACTCCTAGGAGTTGCTTTTACTCTTTCAGGTGACTTTAAGTCACTGAGATTTCACTAATTTTCTCTGAGAGAACAGCTGATTGGGAAATTCCTGTAAATAACTCAAGTGTTGTATAGTGATGCTTCAAATGTTTTGTAGTCTCTCAGCAGGAGGACGCAACCTGAAAAACTGACAATTTGTTCCCCATTGAACCATCCACCCCAGGTGCTTCTGCATGCCTAAGCTCCCTCTGGCAGCTTCTGCTGCAGCTGAACCTGGAGAGGGTAGGGAAATCCTACAGACATGATGCTCTCCCAGCGGGTTAGCTGATTTGAAGTCCATGGGGCCCTGGTGGACCCACTGTATACACTATGCCACCATGTTCAGTTGACATCCAGGTTGGCTGGGCCCAAGTCACCGTGGGTGTTTTTGCTCTCGTCATCAGTTTGCCCCAATGTGATTGATTCTTTGGGCTGGGAGCCATATGACATTAGCCGGAACAACTGAACAAGCTGTGTAGGAATTAAGGTGGATAATGGGCCACAAATACATGAGTTACCTTTTTGTTTTGTTTGTTTGTTTCTTCATCATTAACTTTTGCAGACACATTTTTGTGTATGTTCCTCCCTGCTGCCACAACCAGCATGATTGTATAGAGTTCATTTACTGTAGATCATTTACATACCAAGAGTTATATTAAAGAAGAATGCACAAATGAACATGTCATTAATTTTTGTTATAATAAATATAAAAATTTACAAATAGTTGAAGCCTGCTCTTACGACTCTGTGTTTATGCACACATAACATTTGTATTGACCTCAGTGTCTAATACTGGAGAAGCCAAGTTCTCAAATTGCACACATCTCTTGTTGCAGAACTAATCTAGGCCTGCCCAACTTAAGAAACTTCCCCAAATATTGATAGACAAATCCCCATAGTGGAGGATGTGAGATGTAGTTAATATATAGACAGGGCAGGGGAGAAAGATGGTATGTTGGTTCCCAATGAGATAAGGAAAATTGTCATAAGTGTAATGTAAAACTAGTATCTAGGAGATCAGTGTTTGAAATCCCCATTCAGCCAAGAGCTGGTAAACTGTCTCTGGTAGCTTACCAGCTATTGGCCTAACCTTAAAAATAAATATCCAGTTCTCCCCTTACTCCCAATGTTGCGTCTACAAAGAGAGAAATGTGATGAGCAAAGCCTGGAGATGGTGGGCAATGGGGAGTTGGAATAACTATTAACGCAATAATGAGTTGTTGGCCATGAAGCAAAACAAAACACAGTTGCTCACGTATCCCCTAGAAAACATCCTTTTTCTGAAGCCACTAGCACTGCTGAAGAGACAAGCCACTCCTGTGTATCAGCCTTTCAAATCTTACTGCCTACCAGACATATATGGAAAACTATCCAATGATGATATTGTCTAGTTTTATTGTCAGTTGTGATGATTCTGGCCATTCCAGATCGTTGTGCTAGTATATTTATCAATAATATTGATTATAAGGTTGTATAATGAATGGCTGTGAATGCCTGAGTAATGTAAACTGAGTGCTAATGTGATTGGCATATGGAGAATAGAATGTAGAGTGCAGTGCTAGGTCAGAGAGTGGCTAATCCATTGCAGAGAACAGCGCGATAGGAAGCCTCCGCAGAGCTGGCAGCAGCAGCAAAATTGTGAGTTATTTCCACCTGTGTGCGGATATTCGTATACGAATACCCCAATCTCTAACAAGAAAGTAGACTCCAGCTGTGGCAAAGCAAAAACGTGTGCTATGTGCTATCAAGTCAGAACTGATCCTTCTAGGCCTTTTATAAGGGCAGTGACGTATTTAAAATGTGGTTTTACAAGTTCCACCCCTATCCAGCGACATTTCATGGGCTAGCAGTGATTCAAACCCAGGTCTTCGAAGTCCTAGTCAGTAATTCTGTCCCAATGCATAAAATAAAAGAAGCAACCACAAACACTTGGCAGACAGTTTGAGGTGGTTGTTCTTCGGATTATATCCTAACCTAGTGGCACTAAGGAGTGGTGGCTAGATTTAAAGTTATGCTACCAGAGAGGTGGGTACTCAGCGTGGTGTAGTGGATACAGTGACAGAATAGGACTAGGGCGAGTTGGAATCCCCATGTGGCCATGGAAATTCACCGAGGGAGTGGAATTGGCAAAGCTGTACCTTCTCACTTACCTTGAAAATCGTATAAGGGTTGCTATAAGTCGATTCTGACTTTAACAGCACATAACTTTTTTTAAAAATTTAAAATATTTTTACCCTGCCTTTCTCCTTAAAAGGACCCAAAGCGGCTTACATCATTAAAAAGACAAGATTTAAAGCTAAAAACAGCAAGTATACAAACATGAAAAAAGAAGTAAACGAGTATTATATTAAAAATAGTAAACAAGACCAATACTAAAAGCATATTTTAAAGCAGCTGGGCACAATAGAAATGGGCTTGAACGGCTGCCCCAGTGATTCGCGCCAGTTTGCCCACCGAAGGAGGTGGGGCTTTGAAGTGCCAAACACCTGTTTAGCCAAAAAATAACCTGGCACGATCCACCAGTTCAGCAGTTCATGCCTATATCTAGAGAACAACAACCCATTGTAAAACACCCTTTCAGACATCCAGTTGCTAAGGAAAAGCTCACTTGAAGAGAAAGATCTTCACCTGCCTGGACAGGCTGGCCCCATCTTGACCAGAGAGGTGTGAATCTGCTAGTGTGACCCGCCGATGTAATAACCAGTGGGAAGGGACAACAACCCGAGGAAGAGCGTTGCATCAGCTTTCCACTCACTTGATCCCAAGCTGCCAAGTCTAAGACTGAAAATGGACATTGGAAACCCAGGGGGTTTTTTGCATGTGGTGGCTCCTTCCAGAAAGTTCTGTGAGATATTTTCTGTCTGTCTTTCCTTCTCATCTAATTACAGTCGTGACACGCTTTACGATTGCCTCACATTACGATGAAACCGCATTACAACAATCTTTTTGCGATCTCAATTGCAATCGCAAAGCGATGATCTGAATAGGAGTTTTTCGCTTTGCAATGATCGGTTCCCTGCTTCGGGAACTGATTCTTCGCAAAATGACGATTTTCGGAAAGCTGATTGGCGGTTTCAAAATGGCCACCGGGTAAATAAAATGGCTCCCCGCTGTTTTCTGGGACAGATTCCTCGCTGCACAAGCACCGAAAATGGCTGCCCTGTGGAGGATCTTCGCTGGACGGTGAGTTTCCAGCCCATTGGAATGCATTGAAGTGGTTGCAGTACGTTTCAATGGGCTTTTTATTTTTGCATTACGACGTTTTCGTTCTACAGCGATTTCGCTGGAACGAATTAATGTCGTAATGCGAGGCACCACTGTATTCACTGGAAACGTGACAGGCATCTCTTTTGGGCCTTGGAACAGCTTTTTAAGAACTGTTGTGTCCTTTAATGGTGATTTGTACCTAGTTGTGTGCCTGGGTTTCTGGATAAAATCAGTTGCTGTATCCATCTCAAATAGCAAGAAAGAAGCAGTCATGGAGAAATTCTGTTTGCAGTGGAAATGCCTGAAGGAATAAGTGTTTACAGAGAAGCTGAGTGCCTGTCTGTTAAAGCAAATTCTTTTCAATATACAGTGGTGCCTCGACTTACAAACATCCCGACGTACAACCACTTCAAGTTACAACCAGCTCTGGCCGCAAAATTTTGCTTCTACTTGCGACCAGAGCTTCGAGTTACAACCAGGAAAAGGCAGGGGGGAAAGGCGGGAAATTCAAATTGCTAACCATTGGTGGCAAAGAGTCTGCTTCTTTGTAGCTCTTTCGCCCCAGCAGTTAGAGTGAGTGCGATCGGAGGAGGCTTCAGACTGCCTGGTAAGGTAAGGTGCTGCTTACCTTTGTTTCTTTTTTGGGGTTTTCCCTATTTCCAATGGGCCTTGCAGGGTTTGTTTATTTGCTTTGCTTTTTTTGCATTTCCAATGGGTGTTGCATGGTTTGTTTACTTTTTGCTTTGGGTTTTTTTGCATTTCCGAAAGGTCTTGCACAGTTTGTTTGCTTTCTGCTTTGCTTTTTTTGCATTTCCGAAGGGTCTTGCATGGTTTGTTTGCTTTTGTGCTTTGCTTTTTTTCCCCATTTCTGAAGGGTTTTGCACGGTTTGCTTTCTGCTTTGCTTTTTTTTTAATTTCCGAAGGGTCTTGCATGTTTTGTTTGCTTTCTGCTTTGCATTTTTTTCATTCCTGAAGGATCTTGCATGGTTTGTTTTCTTCCCCCCCCAACCAGAACAGATTAATCGCATTTCCGATGGGTCTTGCAGTGATTTTTTTCTTCAGCCAGAATGGATTAATTTCATTTCAATACATTCCTATGTGAAATGGTAGGCCAAGGCTGTATATTGTCTCCTTGCCTATTTAACTTGAATGCAGAATACATCATGTGAAAGGCTGGACTGGATGAATCCCAAACTGGAATTAAGATTGCCAGAAGAAATATCAACAACCTCTGATATGCAGATGATACCACTCTGATGGAGGAAAGTGAGGAGGAATTAAAGAACCTCTTAATGAGGGTGAAAGAGAGCGCAAAAAAACAATCCGAAGCTCAACATTATAAAAAAAAAAATAAGATCATGGCTGCTGGCCCCATCACCTCCTGGCAAATAGAAGGGGAAGATATGGAGACTTCTAGGGCTCCATGATCACTGCAGATGGTGACAGCAGCCACAAAATTAAAAAGATGCCTGCTTCTTGGGAGGGAAGCAATGACAAACCTAGGTAGCATCTTAAAAAGCAGAATCATCACCTTGCTGACAAAGGTCCATATAGTCAAAGCTATGGTTTTTCCAGTAGCGATGTACAGAAGTGAGAGCTGGACCATAAAGAAGGCTGACCGCCGAAGAATTGATGCTTTTGAATTGTGGTGCTGGAGGAGACTCTTGAGAGTCCCCTGGACTGCAAGGAGATCAAACCTATCCATTTTGAAGGAAATCAACCCTAAGTGCTCACTAGAAGGGCAGATCCTGAAGCTGAGGCTCCAGTACTTTGGCCATCTGATGAGAAGACTCCCAGGAAAAGACCCTGATGTTGGGAAAGTGGGAGGGCAAGAAGAGAAGCGCACGTCAGAGGACAAAATTGTTGGACAGTGTCATCGAAGCTACCAACATGAATTTGACCAAACTCCAGGAGGCAGTGGAAGACAGGAGGGCCTGGCGTACTCTGGTCCATGGGGTCACGAAGAGTTGGACATGACTTAACGACTAAACAACAAAATGGGAAATGGTCCTTCAACCTAGGACCATTTCGAGTTACAACCAGAGTTCCGGAAACAATTAAGTTTGTAAGTCGAGGCACCACTGTATTCTATAGCAGGTATGATTGATCATAAGCACCCTGCTTGTGCATTCACAAATGACATACTATCAGAACCCATCAGCCTTTCAGTTATAGCCAATGAAGTCATTTCCACAGCATGACATGATTTATCACTCTCAGGTAACAGTAAATGTATTTTAGATGGCAGACTTCTTGCTAAGGAAAGTAATGTAATGTTTCCTTGAGGTAACACAAATGGCAGTGTTACAATGACTCTCATTTGTTCTAAGTTTTGTTTGCCACTTTTCAACATGTTTTATTGACTTTGATGCATAGGCATAGTGACTGGGCAGCTATTAACTAAGTGATGTCCCCAGGATTCTGCAGCAGAGTATCTTTATTGCAAGGCTTTGAGAATCATCAGTTTCCTTGGTTGCAATTTTGTGTCTCCTTTTCTGAAGATGTGTTTGCACAGTATGAAAGCCAAAGTGGTATAAATGGTGAGTATGTCAGACGAGGAGTGTTTATACACCAACTTTGGTGGCAACCCAACACACTGCCTGGTTTCAGTGGCCATTCCATTGGCCAATTTTGAAAAGGCCATTTAAAAATAGAAGCATTTTTCTTTATGTCACTGAAATTTATGAGCACAGTTGGAGAGCAGGTGAGCATGAAAACAGCTTTGAGGAACTACATGTGACTAATGGGCCATGTACTGCCCACTCTTGCTGTAGACCTGAGCCTTCAATAGTGAAATATAGCCATGGGTGACTATCAACTGGCTGTGTCCTCTAATCTACATCCACAGGTCAAGTTGCTTGCATATAGTAGGGGCAGAAGGAAGGGCACACTTAAGTTTCTCAGAGGAAGGGCTATAATTAAAAATTGTAAACCGCCCGGAGAGTGCTTGTAGCGCTATGGGGCGGTATATAAGTCCAATAAATAAATAAAATAATAAAATAATTTGTCATAGTAATGTTCTAGAAGAACATCGGGGTGGGTGGGCTCTCCATCAGAGATGAGAGGTTGAAATCAAGACGGGAGACTATGGCGAGCCCTATGGCAGAGCAGGTTTCTGTGAATAAATCACTCAACAACCAAACAAGACTCTAGCAATGTATGTTTCCATTTCCAGTTTTGCAGCAAAACACAATTGTTGTTTTTCTCGTTTAATATTGGAAAACGTTGAGACAATGTTCTGCCTAATTATATCACTTAAATAGTGAGCTGAGTTCTTCTAGTTACTGCTGATGCTTCAAACCTTTTTTAAAAAATTCTGTTAGAAAGGTCTCCGTGTTTTCTTTGAGTAGGACAAAGTGGAGGAAAAGGGAAGGAGAATGCTCAGGCAGAAATTACTTTACATGGCAGGTTTGCCTATGTTGCGTGTATTTGGCTGTACTGAGAGGCACCAGGAGACACTTTGGTTTCTCTATGAAAGTCATGCATTGCCCTTGAAAACATGTTATATTCCAGAGAGCAGCAATACTGATCAATTACAAGCCATTGTGGTAACTTTAGGGGAGGGGTTATCAGAATCTCCTTGTCCCTTTTTCTGTCCCAATTCAGCCTTCAGGCAACCTAATTTATAGGCTTGAGAAACCAATTCATCTTTCTAGAAGGGTCATGAAGGCTGAATCGGCAGGTGTTGGACAGCCATCACAGACACTTAATTGGCAAGTGGTGTACCCATGTTCTTGAGGCCCTCTATCATCAGATCACCAGAGCAATTTTTTGTTTTCCTTCCCCCCCCCTAAAAAGATAAAGTTTGATCATATATGCAGGAATATGCATTATCTTTTAAATGGGGGAAAAATAGGGCAATGCTACCGATGACTCCTGAACCATTTACCGTATTTTTCGCTCCATAAGACGCACCTCTCCATAAGACGCACCAAATTTTTAGAACAGGAAAAAAACAATCTGTTTTCTTCTCCTAAAAATTGGTGAGCCTTATGGAGAGGTCTTATGGAACACACCCTAGGACCCTTTGGAGGCTCACCCAGCCCCCCCTGGAGGCCAGAGGGGGCGAAATCACCACCTTCAGGGACTCTTCTGAAGCTTCCCAAGCCTCAAGAGTCTCAGAAG